ACCTTTCCACCAAGTGTTTTGGCACCCTCTGATGAAATTGAGAAATTACAACGTCGACACAATACCATTCACCAACGCAGAAGAGAAGAAAAGGAGGTATATCTGGCTCATCGAGGTCCTCAATAGCCGTGACTCCGTGAGGAAGGTTTATATTCCCTCTCTACTCATGTAAGCCTGATCCATGTCATAATCTTGATTTGAGATCGTGTAGCCTTGAAACTTTGAAAGTGTTTTGTTCCAGAAGTGTCCATTAGACACATTAGCTAGATCTCTGCCCTTCAGTTGCTTCTACCTGCCATTGAAGGGTTTTATTCAGAAATCTTACAGAATTTTTGTCTACGTGGATTTGATTTTTAATTCAGTAACCTTCTAATACCAGCTTTTATGGATTATCATTTTGTGGGCTGTATAGGCTGTCTTTTTTGAGTTATTATAACTCTGAGGTGTTGATTGAAAATGTCTCCTTGGCTGATTTGGGTGACTTTGTTGCAATGTGCGAGCCTCTGCTGGGTGCTTGATGTCTGTGCAGATGGTTTTACAGTGTTGCTGTGCCTTAACATTGTGCAGTTATTACAGGCTTACATTTTGCCGTGATTTAAGCTGTGTAGTATGTTGTTGGTTGCCTGTTTTGCTATGCCTTTAATTTTTTTTGCAGGCACTGTAATAATACTAATTAGTGAACTAGTAGTGTTGAATTTTCATATCTACATACTGACGATACTGTTGGAGAAAATTCTTGTGTACATGACCGCCTTATGGCGTTTTGATCATAATCTATCTACAAATGCTCATATCAACTGTTTGGTTTATATGCATCTTTAGAGCTGAGAGCATATTAATAATTGATACATTGCTACATTTAAGTAACACCTCCAGGCAAATATTCCTTAAAATTTTCTTGTTTGTGGGATGAATATTCTTCTTAAATGTTACTCCATGTTATGTATGAATTGCTCTTTGAATTCGACAGAAGCAGATATACTAGCATACTCTTCGTTACTCTTAGTGCAATTCTGCTATTGATAACGCTCAATCCGGCCCTCAATTGTAAAATGAAGCTTAATTAATTCTTTAGGAAATGCGGAAATTATCAAATCATTCAATAACCTATATTTTCCAAATATCATAACAGGACACTTTATGCGAGTACAATTGCATGTTTTTTAAGGCAAATCTTTCGACGGACAGTTATTGAGCTTAATAGAGTAGATAAACTGGTATGGTACCTACATGAGTTGAAATTATCATATTATCACCCTCCCTCTTGTAATTCCCATTGTCAAAAAAAAAAAAAAAAAAAAAAAAAGAACAGAAAAAAATTGATAGAAAACTTAGCTGCATCAAATTTTGTAGGTGGTGTGGGGTAAGGCAATGACAGAAAAAAATTGATAGAAAACTTAGCTGCATCAAATTTTGTAGGTGGTGTGGGGTAAGGCAATGAGAAATGTGTTTTTTGTTCAAATCTTTAGGCCATGAAAGTACAATTATTGAAGAGTTTACTTAGTGGAGTGAAAAAGTTGGTTACTTTCTAGTTAACTTGACACTTTCTTCTTCTTCTTCTTCTTCTTCTTCTTCTTCTTCTTCTTCTTCTTTCTTCTTCTTCTTCTTCTTCTTCTTCTTCTTCTTCTTCTTCTTCTTCTTCTTCTTCTTCTTCTTCTTCTTCTTCTTCTTCTTCTTCTTCTTCTTCTTCTTCTTCTTCTTTCTCTATATCTTTCTTTTCCTTTGTTACAGTCTCAAATACTGGTTATTAACTTATTATAGAAGCAGAAATCACAGAACAATTATGTCGATTACTTGCAAGGTTGGACTAGAAAGCAGAGTTGTAAAAACCACAGTAATAAAAACCATAGCTCAGCTTGATCAAAGTCTAAAGGAATTGCTCGTAAGCATAAGCCAAAATGTACGCGGTAATACTTGTAAATGTGTTGTAGGTTTGGGTGTTGAGAAAGAGTTTAGACCATCCTCTAGTGCTGATGGTGTCGGGATGTAGTCTTCGAGTTTTCGAAAGAGTTGCAATACTGAAGCTTTGTTATGGCACCAGTTGTCTGATCTATAGATGCTTTCATATGCTTTTATCTAGGCAATGACTTGTTTGGTGGTTACATAAGTCTATATGACTTGCTCGCTCTATGATTATGATTATGATTATGATTTAGGAAGATGGTAGTAATTTTGCAAATCAAAAGCACACCCTGCAAACCCAAAGCTGGTAATTTAGGCTTTAGTCATCATAATATTACCCTAATTATTAAATGAAAAAAACAGCGTAATATTTTTTTAGTAATTTACTCATGAGGTATACAGTCTACTCTACATTTTTAAAACTGCATCACTTTCTCGTATGTGTTTTCGGAAACCAGCTGATATTAATACTTGTACAGTTCTACTACTGATCAAATTCCCGCGAGTTAAGAGGGAAAAAAAACTGTCTACCCACCGAAAGTACGTGACAAAGTGGTGTCCATTTAGTTTAGTTGGCAGCGGGTGTTCTGCAATCAGACAAGGATTAGAAAACAGGAAGAAACTGATAGTGCTTATGTTATGACACTTTTGTGCTACTACATTATCTGAACAACAGATAGAGAGTGCTTCTTTTGATGCTTCACATTAGGCATGAATCTATTAGGAGCAGAGTTAAACTTGTATAATTTCAGACTTTTGTATAGGAGATGCACTAATTCAATGTATAAGCTGAAAAATTAATGCGTTGCTTAATCATATAGAAATTACTTTTTTGTCTTGATTCCAGCATGCATACAAAGTTTACATGAAATTTAATGTCACAATTCACAACCAGTGTTACCCACCATATTTTTGGTGTCATACAAATCCGCTATAAAAATAATGGCAAGAAAAGTCCCACATTGGGCAGTAATACTTGTGTATGTTTCTTTATAAACCAAAACAAGCGTACTTCATGTTACGACCTTACTTGAACAGGATCTGTTCTATAGGATCGTACCTCTGTATCCTTGAGTTCTAAGGAGACAGAAAACCAAGTCTGGTGGATGAATTATGACCGTATGATCAGAGCGTGATTAACAGCAACCATTGATCTTCGGATCACTGGTGCAGTAGAGGATCGTTCCCCGGTTCCTTGTGAGCTGGGGGTGATCTTACGGTTGTCTGACAGACTCATCCCTTTTTATTACCGACGTGTGGTGGTGGTTGTTTGCTCTTTTCTTGGTGGCACCTCCATTGTTTGGAACATTTTGTTGCTGTTCTGTTTCTGTGCACACCACTTGTTTGATAAAATGCCGCAATGACTGTCATGTTGGTACTTTGACTTGGGCTACATAATTTGACTTTTTAGGTGGTTTAATGCTACTGCAGCACTACAAAGTGGTACTCATGTTAGCTCAAGTGCCCGTGTTGGAAACTTAACATTTTGACATGGGTATTGTCGTATTGACATAGAGATTAACAAACTTAATACGAGTAATTTTTTTTTTTTTTTTAAAACGAAATAGGTATTCTTCTAATCTATAGTTAAACTATACAATCTTTTCATGTCTATAATCCGAGTCATCAACAAATTTATCTGTGTGTAGACTTTGCCACCTTTGGAAAGATACTCAAAGAAGTGTGATGAGCATAAGCAAAAAGAGAAGGGATGATTGCATCCACTTTGCTGGTTGTCCTCTTGTTGTAAGTTTAACTCGAGTAACAAATAATTCCATCGCTAGACTTTGATTATTGAGCTAATAAACTGTAATTAAGTTCAGGAACAGATTTTATACAGTGGATCAGAAGTATAGTCTTAAAATCTGACAGTAGTAAAAATCATACTTGCATTAATCTTGAGCTAATTCTATAAAAAAATGATTAAGTAGGTAACAATATGCCTTGTGCATTTGAACTTGTAGTATCTGGTAATCTGGTATGATATTGCATGATTCTTGTATAAGTTGTATTTAAACAGTTCTAAACAAATGAAAGGACAGTGATTCAGAGGTTTCCACTTGCATTTGCTGTTAACCTTGAGAATCATGTTCAGAGGTTCCCACTTAGTATTTGCTGAATGTGTTCAGAGGTTTCCACTTAATTCTGCGGTTACATTATATTCTATAGCTATTTTAATTTTATATATTGTAAGTTGATAACCTAATTAAGCAGGGTTGTGATTCTTCTACACAAGAAAATATGTTCGCCTACTTTGTTGGTTTCCATCAACAACCCGATCGAGTATTTTCCGACTTCAACCTTCTACAATCATTTATATCATTGGTGGGATCAAATGTTATGGATATGAATATATGATAGTATAGTGGCAAAGTAGCGGTCCTTCATATCACTTGTCGAGTTATATAATACACTTCAGGCACAAAAATATATATATATATATATATATATATATATATATATATATATATATATATATATATATATATATATATATATATATATATATATATATATATATATATATATATATATATATAACGAGGCAAACACAAGGTAACATAAGAATTATATCTTATACAGAGTAAATCCAGTTTTTTTTTTTTTTTTATGAGGCTCTAATAAATTGAATTATATCTTATACGGAATAACTTTAGTTTTTTTACGAGTCCCTAATGAATTAAAGAAGGGTTAATCAGGCAATTTAATGTGTAGAAACAGGTTGAATACAAATCGGATTACGCAAGATCCGACTTAGACCCTCCAAGGTTCCGACTCCGACTACGACTCCACTCCAAATCATTAATATTGGATAGGGTCAAAAAACAAGAGTTTGCTTTAGTAGGGCCTTGAGGGTCACACACACTAATACAACGTCTCGTACAAAGTCTTTTTTTGTTTGGAAAGTGAAAAATGGTATGATTATTGGGCCATATTGACTGACCCAATAAACAAATCTAACATCATTTTATTTCTTTCTTTTTCTCTCTTCAATTTCGAATTGTTGAAAATAACGGGAACCCCGCTCAACTTCGCTTAATCCTTCTCTCTCCTCTCTCCAACGCTTGCAAAAACTCAATATCACAAGGTAAAGTGGCTCCCATTTTTTAAATTTCCCATTTTAATTCCTCTTTCTTACTTTCTTTTCCGTTAATATTATTGATTTTTGTTGCTATAATACATGTGTAGAATCAAGGCTGAAAATTGCAATTTTTTTTTTTTTTAATTGTAAGATTCAGCTCAGAGAATAACATTAATGACATTAATTCGAGGAATTTTATTGATTTTTAAAATTTTCTGACTGTTTTATGATATCTTCTTCTTCAGACACAGTTAAGGGTTTTTAATTCAAATTCAAGCTCAAACCAGAGAACGTCAAATTTCAATAATATGAACAAATTCTGGGTTTCTCTGTAATTTTTGAGTGCTTAGTTTTTCATTTATAACTATATATCTATTAATTCAATTACTTGCAATTCAATTTTCAGTTGAAAGTCACAAAATCTATGTTCTTTAAGCTAAATTTATGATTATTCCTATTTTTTACGAAATTGTCAGGATTAAGATTTTTGGGGTTGATTTTTACACCCCAATTCTCCTTCAATATTGAGGAATTTGCTACAAGAAGCCGGTGGCGTCGACAGCAGTAATTTGCTAGCTACGGATGTACGCCAGGCGCCATGGTTGGCAGCGTCCTTTCCACCCTTTACAGGTAACTAAATTTCTTTCCTTTTATAAAAATGATTGAAATTTGGTAATTAAATTTCTGATGTTTATTTGATCTTACTTACAGATGGTGGGAATGGCAGTATACAGTTTCCTAGTGGCTTCATTCTATTGCTTTCTGGGATTCTTTCTTGGCAATCGAATTGCCGAAATTGTAGTAATTTCAATATATTCTTCAGTGGTAAAACCCTTGAAAATTTACATACTTCTAAATTGAAAATTAAAATTTTGAGTTATTCAATTTGTTAATTGATTCATTTCATATCAGGCACTGTCGGTTATGGTGTTATTTATTAGGTGCACGGGGACTGATCCGTCTTCGAAAAATAGACATAGTAATCACAAGAAAAAGAAAGTGAAGAAGAGTAAAGTTAAATCCTTGACAAAGTTGAATTATGGTTTTATATTGAGACAGATGGTTATGAGGTGTTTTAGGAGGTTGGAGAGAAAGATTCTTAAGACTTGTATAAGGAGGAAGTATTTACTAGATCCGCGCATTGCTAATGGTCATGTTCACTTGGATCCCTTGCTTCCTTTTCCTCTGCCTCCCCTTGTTACCAAAGAAGACGATGACTCCGTTTCGCCTGATCTTGATCCTAATGATAAGGATGAGGATTTCTCCTTTTGCTCCTTGTGCAATTTCCATGTTAAAAAACATAGCAAACATTGTAGGACATGTAATCGTTGCGTTGAAGGCTTTGATCACCATTGCCGGGTAAGAAAGTACATGTTGTATGCCTGTATCGGCTGTATGTATGTGTGTGTGTATGAATGTATTGGATCTTCTCTAACTCGATCTTATGCTCCCTTACAGTGGCTGAACAATTGTGTTGGAAAAAGGAATTATACAACATTCATCCTTCTTATGATATTTGTCCTGTTGATGGTGAGTTTTTTAGCTTCTTGTTGCAAATGTTCTTCAATTTTGTTCCCATTAATCATTCATCCCATAATGAGTGTACGAGTTCTTTTATTGAATGAAGAGAAACAATTGCAAGTATCTTTTGCCTAAATTCTTTCTGATAATTGCAGCTTACAATTGAAGGAGGAACAGCTATTGCTGTATTCGTTCGGTGCTTTGCTTATAAGAAAAACATGGATCAGGAATTAGCAAGGGTATTTCACACCACCAAGTTTCCTAGGGGAGTTCTTGCTGCAATATCTGTAAGCTTCATCTGATTGCCCTTTGTATACCTAGCGTTTTTTTGTATGCCTTTTCGCTCATTGGTTATTGCTGATGATCTTGTAGGCAGTGTTGGTTTTGTTGACAGCTTATGGCTCAGCAGCACTTGGCCAACTCTTTTTCTTTCATGTTGTTCTCATTCGCAAGGTACTTCTGCTGGCTGCTTTGTGTAATTGATACTGATCTCTCAAGATTCACTATTTGTGATGCTTCAATTAATTACTACTTTCCTAAAAAGAAACAAAGTTTAAACTGTTAGTAGTGCTCAAAAACTCAAACAGGTATCCTTATTAATCTTGCCAGCAGAAACTTCATACTGCCCGAGCCCATGTAGTGTTGTCACCGTACTAGATCTTGTATGGGAGGAAATTATAAGTGTTTGCGACTTGTAATTCTTTATCAATCTACGTTGACAGATTGTGTTTCCTTGTAGACGTTATGGCCTGATTACTTTTCATTGTTTCTGCGCATGAGCTGATTAATGATCTTCTGTGAACAGAAAGTAATGTCAAGTGACATGAATGGCTACAAGTTTCCTATCCAAGAATAAATCATAAGCAGTCACATTTTCACTAGTTATGCTGTCATGATTTTAGGTGTACTGTGTTTAATATTTCTTGTTTAAACTGCAGTATGATCACTTATTTAAGTGTACCAAAAAGATGCCTATTGCTGCAACCTGAATATGATATAGCCTGTTTGAAGTCTGAGTATGTCTTAATAATATTGTTGCAGGGAATGAGAACATATGATTACATATTGGCTATGAGAGCAGAGCATCGATTTAGTGGATTGGAGTCATTGAATGATTCAGAATTTTCGTCAGATGATAGCAGTGAACCTGCTTCACCAAAAAGGATCATTTTGTCTCAGTTCATAGGACAGAAATCAAATCTGGTAAAGCATTTGCAGCGCGCCTTTACATATACAAGCATTTACTACTTGCCTCTACATTATTGACTGTTTGAATATCTGCTATTCTCGACTTGCTAATTACCCTGCGATACTTTCAGAGCCCAGAACAACTATCTGTTAAAATCGATCCTCAATCAGGCACCTCCATCATTAACCAGAATCAACACTTCCGTGCTAGCATTGATCCCTGGAAGCTGATACAGATGAGTAAAGAAAAAGCTTTGAAAGCCGCCGAAAAGGCCAAAGAGAAGCAAATGGTTGAACACGAACAACTTAATCCACTTCCTTTCGAGGTGAAAAAAGGTCCTTTGGAGAAGCCAGAAAGAGATCAGAACAAAACAACCCCTCTTGTTTCAATAGCAAGACATCCAGGCTCGCCGGGAAGATTCTCAAGTCCAAGAAGACGAATTTCTGGCTCTCCTGCTACACTATCCAATACAGCTGCACAGCCAAGTCAGATATACAAAAGCAATTTCGACTTGAAACTAACAGGGGTGTCAAGGGAGCTAGAGGGGTATATATCAAAGCAAGTTCTGTGTTCCATTGTAAAAGACGGGGCTGAAGCATCCCCTAGATAATAGTATCTGTGATACTTGTATTCTCAGTCTCTGAGAACTCATTTAAAACTTCATAGTACCGATGATTCATTTATTATATGCAATTTATACCAGGGATCAATGGTTTGGCCCCTTTTGCTTCTTGAATTACATAATTCTTGAATTACATATGCAACTCATTGCTTTCTGAGCATATAAATAGAAAATAGAAAATATTTGTGGAAGTTATGATAATCTTTGTTGCAAAGCAGAAGTTTAAGTACATAAAGATGATGCCCTAAAAAAAAAAGTACATAAAGATAAAAATGCTTGATGTTTGGATGACTGTCTTCCAACCCCAGAAAAAACATGGAATTTTTATATTGCCTTGAGCCATTGCAGACAAGTTATGGATAATGTACAGGAATGATATGGATTGTGTTGTATTGTACTTTGATTATTAAGTTATTGACAGGAGTATAGGATCTTTGTGAGTATATTATTGAATAGCCAATAGACATGCATACTCAAGTTTGAACTTATTTTGTTTTATAGTAGTACTTCATAATGAATGGCTATTATGTGAAAGTTATGTTATTTTTATATTAGATCTAATTTCTTTTATGATTTAGGCTTTGTTCTCAAACATGAAACTTAAAAAATTTAAAATATTATTTTTACCAAAAAAAAATAAATTTAAAATATTTTCGTTCAAATAAAATTATATCACTTTCTCCGTACTTTTTTTAATTGCACCATGAGGGATTTTACGCTTGTCAATGCATTACTTTAGCTATTACTATCTTCAATTATACTTTTGTAAAAATTATAAAAAAATTAATTTGAAAAGTAGATTTCGAGACAAATCTAACTAGATTCCACATGACTATGTTTTTTCTAATTGATAAATCACAAATGATGGTCAAGGAAGATTAAGTGAATAGTGTAAAAGTCCTTATGGTGCAATAACAGAAAAAACGGAGGAAGTATTAATTTATTAATTAGCTTATATTTTTATTCTCTTAAAATTAAATGTATTTTATTGATCAAAACGTATTTTTACTAAACTAATATTATTTCTACTAAATATTATTTTTAAGGTGAATAGTACAAGACTTTAGTTCGTTGTAGTGTATGAAGTTCTATTATATATTCGTATTTTGGATGATATCTTTAGGAATTGAAGAAATTCTTTTAGACGAGTATGGGTGAAGATAAGATAAAAGAAGTAGGGGGAATCATAAGAAGAAAAAAAAGTTAGAAATCACACGTAAAATTTTCGACGGCGTTCGTGATAGTTACAAATAAAGTTACATTCAAATGCGTTCAAGATATATACAAATAAAGTTACATGATCATGTGTCTTGCCTTGTCCACTAATAGAATAGAGTAAATAAAAGAAGTAGGATAAATCATTAGTGCTAGTGATGTCAATTTCTAATAATCCCAACGGTAAAACTATCTAAAATCGACTTGTATTCGACCTAACTCAACCAAAAGTTAACCCAAAATTGTACTCAATAGGATCCATATCTCTAAAGTTTGGTAGGGTTGGAGTGGATTTTATTTGTCACACGTTGGCACGCATATATCATCATGAAACAAAATGCATCTATACAAAGACATCTCACACTCCAATTAGTTCAAGTTGATTCGTGTAGCTTAATGCTTTTATATTGATATTGATTATAATCTTTAAATTGCACGGTCATATTTGAAAATATACATTTTATTTTTTATTATTTAATACTTGTATATTTATACCCAACTACCCAAAACATTTCTTGCCATTTTGGTTGATCCCACATTTGGATCTCACTATTTTAGATTTGGATTTAAAATTAAATAAGCATTTATTGAACCTCAAAAGCATACTTTCTCTCATCTCCCTCCACCTATTTTTCTCATCCAAAAAAAAAAAAAAAAAAAAACTTCTTATAATTATTTAATTTTATTTTTGTCATAAATTTTCCCAATCACTTCACCAAACCAAACTCTTCCTTCTTTGGAGTCTCCGAGAGAGAGAAAACAGCCACTTCTGAACTCCATCCTTAATCCCATCTGGAGATGCGAAAATGGTACGATCTCTTTCTTTCACTTCAAAGATCAAAACTTTATTAATTTGGGTTTTATTTTTAATAATTTGTTCTTTAATTGATCAACAGTCTTTGGTAGCCAACGTAGATTTCCAGCACATTATGCGTTTCTTGAATCCCAACGTTAATGAAAAGCAAAATATCATGCTTTCAATCAATGGATTTGGTCGCCGTTTCTCCAACATTTGTTGTAAGAAGCCCGACATTGATGTCAATTCAAGGTAATTTGTTGATTGTAATATAATCTTTAGCTTATTTGATGAATTCAAATTGAAAAAGACTATATTTATACGTGAAGTAGATTTTGCTGCTATTTTGTTCATATAATGTTTTGGGTTTAATTGATTTGTTGCAAATTTTTGGAAGGAATTTGTTATAAATTACAATTCAAGGAATTTTGTTCATATAAGTTTGGGTATTTTTGTGGAAAAATTTCAGGGTTTTGAATTTTTGCAATTTTTTATTGTTGGTTTAGATAATTTTGCAGCATTATGTTTGAAATATGGATCATTATCTGTGCTTCTTCGTTGGGCTATATTTAATTTGATTCTGTGAGATGAAGGCTAAGTCTGGTGCTGGTTAACATTGAGCTGGTTTTGGTATCAATTCTGATTCTCATTAGTTGTTCAGCTTATTATAGGGTGCAAAAACTCGAAATTAGGGAACAACATTTCGTGTTGTACGTATGATATGTTACATTTTGAGTAGTGTTTTAGCTTTTAGGACGAAAATAAACCAGCCAAAGTAAGAGGGTCAATGGACTGTGTTTCTTATGTTGCATTTAGTTTATTTGGCTATAAACCTGGATGGAGGTAAATTGGTAGTGTTCGATTTTTATTGTTGCAATAGTTCTAGCACCGTCATGCAAGGGACATCGTTTCTGAGTTATCAGATAGTTGAGTATGAAGCTTGTCTTTGCTGAATTATATGTCCTATTGCATGGTTTGGCTACAGAATCCTGATACATGTAAATAGTTCATGTTGCTTGAAGAATATATTCCTTTTGGAATTCTATGTGATGGCTTGTTAGTCAGTACTCATTCTAATCTTAAGATTGCTGGGGTTGTTTAATTTGAATTTTTTAAATGTTGTTGTCTTGTCTTAGGATCCGTTTGTTGTGATGGAAAATATTTATCCGGAATAGATTTTTCATGGAAAACAATATTCAAGAAAAAATTGTAGATATATTTTCCTTTGTATGTTTCCTGACAAGAAAATTTTGATAGGAAGTGGAAAATGGGAGTGAAAGGGAGACGAGGGATGGGAGGAATGGAAAGGGATGTTAGGAATAGGGAAGAAACTGTGGAAACTCTTTGAAAAACTATTACCTTTGGGAAGTTTGTTTTCTACTCTTTACATACCAAAAAATTGAAAAAGGGAAAATTACCGTCAAATCAAATGTAAAATTTCCTCCTACGCATCTTTTCTTCCCAATACATGGAGCTTGGGCTTCTTATTCTCTATCCTTTTTTTTTACTCCGAATAAACTTGGCTGGTTATTTACCAAGCTCTGATTGAATATGCTATTATTGACGGTTCCTCATGCAGGCTAGTAAATAGGGGATGTAAGCTAGTTGGTTGTGGTTCTGCTGTACCAAAGCTGCAGATCTCCAATGATGACCTTTCTAAATTTGTTGAAACTTCGGATGAATGGATATCTACTCGAACTGGGATTCGCAAGCGACGTGTCCTTTCAGGTTAGTGTGTCTGTCTTGTATATGGAACTTTAGACAGGGTTGCTTGACTCTTTTGTTGATCCCTGTTGCTTAAAACACTCATACTCTCATAGTGATCTTCCTTGTAAGTCTGGTATGTGTGTCCAATCTTGATAATGCTGGGCCAGCAAGACCCATGATCTAACAGAAATTGGCTATTTTATTCAAGCTATAAACGTCTTATCAAATTTTAACATTTTATATCCTATAAACCAAACCAACTGAGATTAAGCCTACAAACGAGCTTGGGTATGTGTAATAATGGATTCTGGTTTTCTGTAAGATATTTTCCTTATTTTTGACTGTGTCTCACACAGATGTCGATCTCTGGTTTTGTTGCTCTATTACAGGTGACGATAGTATGGTAGGCTTAGCTGCCGAAGCAGCTAGGAACGCTCTACAGATGGCCAATGTTGGCCCAGATGATATTGACCTTATCTTGATGTGCACTTCTACACCCGAGGACCTCTTTGGCAGTGCTCCTCAGGTATTTTTCATCTTAATGTTGGCTACTCATCCCAATGCTTTTTGTACCAGCTCAAAAGGAACAGTTTTATGCGGACCATTTGCTTTTTGGGAAACAGCCTCACTATGAGGCTTGAACTAGGGACATGTGTGTATGACTATATGTATTTTATTAGCACACGATGAAATCAATATTGGTTATTGTGTCGAGCAGTTTTTCTTACTGTCAGTTTCTTACAGCTTTAATCTTGGCCATAGATTGGAGCATTAGAAAGTTTAGTATGGAATGCTTTGGAATTTAGAATATAAACAAATGTTTACTTACACATTCTACTTAGATGAGATCAACCAAATACGGTTGTGCCTGATGCCTGTTGCTCATATAATAATGAGTGAAACTGTTGAATTCTGACAACACATGTAGTCTAAGTAACTAAGCAGTCAATATTAAAGAAAGAAAATAACCCAAAAAAAAAAAGTTAAAAGTGGAAAGTCGTGATGGTGAAATCTAGTACGGAGTAATAAGTAATGGTTGATTTCTCCACAGGGATGCATATTTTGCATATAGACCTGCAACCTTTTCTTTGTCCTTTCATGTTTATATAAGCATCCTGAATCATGTTATTAAGTTATTATTATACAGGTACAAAAAGCACTGGGATGCAGCCGAAGTCCCTTGTCTTATGATATTACTGCAGCTTGCAGTGGATTTTTGCTGGGTCTGGTGTCTGCTGCTTGTCACGTAAGGGGTAGTGACTTTGATTTCTTTTCTCTAGTATTTTTTTGTTTATCCTTCAAACTTCAAAAATGCTAATCTTTTGCTTTGTAAATTCCAGGTGGTGGATTCAAGAATGTCCTAGTTATAGGTGCTGATGCTCTTTCTCGTTTTGTT